TAAACAGAAATTTAAACTTAATGTTAGGAAAAAGGCATTCGTTGTTCGAGTTACTGACGATTGGAACTCCCTTCCTAGTAATGTGGTAAATCAGAGTTCAGTAAATCTTTTTAAAGCGGGCTTAGAGAAAGTCTGGTCTGGCCACCACTTTAAATTTTGCCCGTATATGACCGAAGAGGATTCGATAGTGATTGAGGGACAAATGAGCTTTGATCTCTAAGTCTCGAAGATTCAAGGTAAATTCAAGGTAAATTCAAGGTAAATTCAAGGTATCATTCTACAGTATTTCTATTTGTTATACTCCTACACCCCTGATCCTTAATTAATTTGTTTAAAGGGCCAACACTATTTTTGGAGCTGTGCTCAAGGGCCGAAGATAATATTTGAATACCGGTATTTTAATGTTTTTGGTAATTCCAAATTCTACTTTTTGTATACCGGTATGGTAACGAATTCAGTACCGTAACTATAAGCAAAGAATACTGTACATAATTATCAATATTCTTTTCACAACCTACCCTATTTGGTTAAAACAATAAGAAATTGCATTCGGTACATAATTAACGTTAGTTCTTCTGTTCTTTCGTTTGTTCGCTCGTGTAAATCACAAGAGCTACACAGTTGGTTTTAATGTAGCTTCCCGTAACGAATAATGGCGTATAATCGAATCTAGTTGCGTTAATAATTGACTGGAACAGTCGTAGCAGAGTCACCGACGAGCAGGTTAATAGCATGACAACCCCCCTCCCGTTTATACTCCTAGATGAAGAGACAAATGTAAGTAAAGTGTCTTGCCCAAGGACACAAGCAATGCGAGGAGCGTCGGTCCAACACAAGCTACGCCACATACTTCCACGAAGCGTTAATAACATAAACATTAAAAATATATAATACGCATACTTTATAAAATCATAAATTAACATAATGTTCTGATAAACAGATTAGGCGCGATCTACAAATTATCCCTAACGACAGAAACGCGTCTGGGAAAACCATGTATTACAAACGCGTCTGGGAAAGCGATCGTCTAATTATCGTGCCTCATGAATATTAATAAGCTAGTCGGAATATGTCCCAGACGCGTCTAAACGGGTTTGTGCTGTTGAACGCGTTTGCCATTGTTTCTACTGTTTTGGGCGACAAACGCGTCTGTGTCGTTAGGTTGAACTACCGCTTTTGTACAATTTAAAATACTAAACAAGTTTTACTTTGAAATGAACCAAGTTCAAAGTTTAAAGGCTCCATAGTCCTAATAGTTAAATTAAGTGGTAAATGACGATAATGGCAGCACATGCATGTAGGCCTAATTGCCGTTTGCTCTGTCGGAAAGACCTATCTTCGTTAAATAGCAGCCTACCAGCTAAGAAGCTGACGACGAACGAAAAAAAAAAAACATTTATCAACTCCCTGCACACATATCACATTGGAACACAAATGGACGCCAGTATTCGCCAAACATCATTCAATAAACTATAGAGAAAATAGAACATCTATTTTCTCTATTATTAAACGTAGGCATCAATATATATTATATACAGCAACTAGG